ATATATATATTTATACATTATACTTTGATAGAACTTCTGTTGTAAGAGGTTGCCTAATGTCCAAACATAGGCATCTTAGTGCCATTTGTAGGCACCCCAGCATAGCTGAGGCATCTGCATTGGACTAGCAGATAATGACATGGGACTTGGAGGAGACATCGTTCTGGGGGTTGATCCGAATATCCCAGGGCATACTAAATGGCTTATAAAAAGGCACTAGGCTTAGGCAACTGAGTCCTACTCGTTAGAAAGAACAATCTGAGAAGACTAAAAATCTGAAATATGGCTTTTTTTTTTTAAAGACTCTTATTCCTCTCTAGGCATGGCATCTGGCACTCAGCAGCAGGTTCTCTTTTGGAATGGGTGTTCTGGTGGGCTCCCACCAAATGAAACTACTTTTGCCAGAATACTGCACCAGCAAGGTTATTCTACAGCACTTGTAGGTATGAGATATAGCAACTTGCTGCCTTTTCATTGCTTGCTATTCAAACGAGGCTGCTTCTGCAAATATTTTTCTTTGCCCCAATGTCTAGGATCAGTTAAACCAGAGCCTCTTGTATGCATAACTTTCAAAATCAGCAGGGTTTTTAGAATGCCATCCACAAGCCCCTATGTCAGCACAGCATATCTGATAAATGCAAAATGAGGATGTATGGAATACATAGACATACACTGCGAACAGAAGTAAATGCAAAGGAAAGAATCTCGTTTGCCCAGTAGAGATTCCTTTAGGAAGAACCAACAGAGATATTCACTGATCTATTCGAGCAGAAAAATGTTGTCTGCCGGTTGGTAGCCAGGCACCACAGTGGTCTTAATTGTAACTGGTGGCTAGATTTTCTGTTATTTACGCATCCGCTTATAATCACAGTTGAGATTCTAAAAGTGCCTTATTCTCTGCAAAAAGAAACTCTGCTAAAAAAGCTGGAATGGTCCCATTGACTTCAGTGGGTTTTGGATCAGAATGCATGTCCAAAAAAGAAAATCCTATTAACTCTTTGCTAATTTTGCCTGAACAGCAATTAAAGGCTATGTCTTTCAAGCACCTCTCATTTTTAAACTCTTTTTGGTGTAGTCAAAGGTGTCATGTGCTGAATTGTAATTACTGTGATTTTTGCACTGCTGCTCAGCTCCAGCACACTGAGGTGTCATTTAGTTCCTAAACTGAAGCGAGTCTTAGTGATGTACTGACTTCACACAAGCCTGTGCAAAGGAGTGAAATTTCCCTAGCTCATTGCATTCTGGTATAGTTTATGCAGTAAACGACATTCATATACCTGAGCACAGAGATGGTTAGCAGTTCTCAGAAGTTATTTGTCTAGCTAATAGCCCCTAAGCCCATGGTTATAAACTGACTGTCCTTCAATGTCAGGATAATTACACTGCTCTGTAGTATGACTACATTAAGGTTCATTATCAGCATGTGACATATTCTGATATGTCCAGTTGTACTGGATAATTGGAATGGCCTATTTTGCTACTTATTTTAGGATGAATATAGACACACAGAGCCAATCTGTACACCTTCTTCCTGAAATTTGTTCTCGGGCTGTGAAGCTCAGATAGAACTTGTGTGTGAATGAGTTCAGATTTTGCACTTAGCTGTTTCTTTTGGCACAAGGATTTCCCCAGTTTCTCCCCATCAGCCATAATGAATGGCTACTTTATCATGTGAAAAATAATAAGCACCAACTATTGCAAGCCTACTTGTTCTTATTCAGGGAGGCGGCTGAGCTGAACCATTGCCCTACGTGGAATTTTAACAGATAGGTGAGGAAAACCAGCTGTTCTAGGCAGATAAATTGCCAATGCATGATTGCTCCCTGACAGTCTGTCCCCATTCCACACCAGCTCCTCCCTTGGCTGCACCTTAACTGAGGAGTGCAGCCAACCGATTAGAAATACAGGCAGACACACCCAAGAGTAACAATGTTGGATTTAACACCTTTGTTTTATATTTTCAGGGAAGTGGCATATAGGTGTGAACTGCAAATCCCGCCATGATCACTGCCACCATCCTTTAAATCATGGCTTTGATTATTTTTATGGCATGCCTTTTACCCTTTTGAATGAGTGTCAAGGCACAGATGACCCTGAACTGGCCAAGTCTTTGCAAGATACATATTGGCTTTACACACAGATGATCATCCTTGCACTGCTTACTCTTTTGATTGGAAAACTTACCAACTTATTCTCAGTAAAATGGAAAATAATCATATGTCTGGCCGTCTGTGGTCTCCTGTATTTCATCTCCTGGTTCTCCAGCTATGGTTTTGCCAAGTACTGGAACTGTATCCTGATGAGAAACCATGATATCACTGAACAACCAATGAATCTACAAAAAACTACTTCTAACATGCTGAAGGAGGCAGTTTCATTCATTGAAAGGTAACCTTCAAAAACTGTATCACAGTTTAAGGATTTTTAAAAATAATGTGATTACTGTGTCATACACCACTAGGTTAGTCAGCTGGCATGCCGAGCTACCCGTCCTGATGCTGGCCAGTAATTTCCTGGTTTCTGGCATCCCCCTACCTGTCAGCATCCAACTGCTGTCCTTCATCTTATACATAGCTTGTCAGCTCCTCAGGAAAAGGAAGATTATTTTTTTTGTATTTATGTTTTGTTTGCCTAATACAAAGGGGTCCTGGCCAAGGACTGGGCCTTCTGCCAGTAGGAACAGCAAAAATTATCTTAGCCTGATGAAAGGACTGTCATAGAAAGTGTCATATGAAGTTAATATTGTACAAAGAGGAGACGGATAGTGAGGGGATTTTTTCTTCTCCAAGGGTGTCCTTCATTTACAATATGTCAGTAGCCTCAACTGGCATTGAACAAGCCACTCAGTATTCGTGTGCCAAGTCTGGGCATATCCCTGAATAAGATTATACTATTTCTGTCAGTGTTTTTTAAGGGAAATTTGGGGTAAGGTCAATCTTTTCTGTAAAACTTTGAGCATAGATAATCTCAGGTTCCTAGGATACTCTGCCTGGCCTGATGTTAAAGGGATGTGGTTCCCCTGCAGGTGCAGTGTCATATCTGCCCCTTCCACATGAGGACGTCTCGAATGCTCAGTGACATCCCTGTTAATTTCAAGCAAGCGAGTCCTATTCTCCTTGCCTCTGAGAGTGTGTCAGTCTTTTGGCTGTTAACTTTCCCAGTTATTTATTTAATGTTCTATACATGTCTAGTTTGGAACCAGAAAAAGAAAGGGCCCATTACTGTTTTGGTCTTAACACAGAACCAAAATCTTTGAGGGGTGTTTTAATCCCCTCTGTCTCCCAAAACCTCAAAAATGCAAAGATGTCAAAATCAAAAATTTTTATTTTAGACCCCAATATATTATATATTTTGGGCTGAGTGACGGTTTCCAGAGAAATTACTATTCTTTTCTTTTATTTCAGAAACAAGCGTAGACCGTTTCTTCTCTTTGTTTCCCTTTTGCATGTTCACACCCCTCTCATTACCACAGAGAAGTTTCAGGGAAGAAGCAGACATGGTCTATATGGAGATAACGTGGAGGAGATGGACTGGATGGTGGGTAAGTGGTCGTCTTGAAGAAAATCCTTAATTCATTCGAATGTGGAAAAGAAATTAAAGGGGTGGTCACAGAACTCCCTTTTTGCATATGACAAAAATCAGTGAACTTGCCTTGGATACACAGTTCGCGCCAGAGATTGATATTCCATTACCACACCTCTGTTTTTCTTTCTTAAGATGAAAGCCCAAACTTTTCTTGTGAGGATTTGTTCTTATTTTTTTAATTGACACACTTCCGTGCTGCAGTGTTAAATGCAGTCAGATAATCAAATATGTGCTTGATCATGTGGTTAATCAAAATGTATGACATTTCTTCAGCTCCGTCTAGTCTGAGAAGATATAACTGGTGCTGCTGCTGAATATTACATTATACGGTGGTTGGTTCGTGTACTTGTTTGTTTTTATCTAAGAATAATCCTAGGAGCAGAAACCAGAACTCCCTCCTAGCCAAAAGGCCAAGTTAAAAAGCTACGGAGCTTCACAACAAATTGTGTGAAGTCAGTATATCGTGAAGACTCACCTAGCTTTACTTAGTAGTTCCTTTCTCCTTCAGTGGGAGGGAGGGAGATAGCTCCTGTTTGTATTTAGTCAGAAGTGAAGACCCTATTGACAAAGTATTCATCTCCTGTCCAGGCCAACATTCAATCCCTGAACCTTTTCTTCCTCTGATAACCACGTTTACAAAATTATATTTTGAGAGGAGCCCCATTGCTTCTGATGGGCAGGCTGAGAACCTCTGCGAGATCCAGTTGAACCAGAGGACTCTGCCATGCTTCTCTTGCAACTTTTTGACACCTGTCACCTTCAAGCACAAGCTACGCAAGCAGAGCTGGATAGCAGAAGTCTGCTGGTGTAAGGAACATGCCTTGTATAGGCCAAACAGGCTGGCAGCCAGTGAGGACAGAAGTCTCCAGAGCTGGACAGCTAAGTAAGAGATTTGGGGTCTAATTCAGAACCAAGATGCCTAGGCTCAATCTAAACTCTTTTGGGGGGCAGGTGTCTATTTTTAGGTAAGGTCAGCAAGTAGCTTGATGAAGGAGACACAGGAAATCTGTAAAGGAGAAGAGACTGAGCAAAAGAGCTGATCAACTGGCTTATGCTTTTTCCTTGAATACTTCAGCTTTTGCTGCTGCTTCTGTAGTTATGGAAGCTGTTCTTTGTGAATGTATTTGATGCAGTAGGTGATAAGGACAAGCAATCAAAGATAAATCATATTCTGTATAAACATTTGATGATATCAGTACTGAAAACATTCCTTATGAAGTTAGGTTTGAATTGCACTCTATGGAGTTTTCCCACTGACATTGGGAGATGATTTTGGTTGACAGTATGCAGCCTGATCTGAGAGTCCCTGTTCAGTTCCTGGTGACACACAGCAGTTTTTTATGATGAGCAATCTAGGCAGCACTATTATTTAAGCTTTTCAAGGTGCTTGAGGCTACACAATGGAGACAGTCCTTGACCCGGAGAATTTATAGCATAAAGCTGACAGAGTATTCTGAGAAGCTTGAACTGAAGGATCATTCATTTAAATTATTTTCCAATTGGTTTTATTTTTATTTTCCTGTTTTTATAGACACCAAAACCAAATTTTGGATACATTCAGCAGCTTTCCTTTGGGCTCTTTTTATTTCTGTAATGCAGGATTACTCTTTGCATTGCTTGTGGTAGCTCATAACAGAAATCATTCAGGTAAATGGAAAGACTTGATCTTCACTGAATGTTGAGTCAAGGTGTAAAAAATCTGACTGCATCTCTGGACATAATTATGATGTTTTGCTTTGTTTATAGGCAGGCTTCTGGATGTTATTGACAAAGAAGGCTTGAAGAATACCACATTTATTTATTTTGCATCTGATCATGGAGGATCCTTAGAGGCTCACAGAGGAAATGTTCAGTTGGGTGGATGGAATGGGATCTATAAAGGTAAAATTTTGGTAGTGTGTATATGCATAAGACTTTCTCTTAAAAAGAAAATGATAGAATAAAATACATCCAGGTAGACTAGATTTACTAAATGGATGATAATCTTGGACTGTAGGGCTGGAGCAAATTCAGGGCATCAGCTATTCATCTTTCAGCCCCCAGACAGGATCACTTTCACCAAAGCCACTCCTGACAGCTATATTGCCTAACCTGTTCTTAAAGACCTTCAGTGATTTCCCAGATAATCAAGTTTCCATTGTCTAGGCTACTGGAGGTTTTTTTCCTGGTACCTACCTTGGATTTCTTTGCTGGAGTTCAAGCAACAGATCTTGCCCTATTCATCAATCTACAGAGAAGAGATTCTTCCTTTCCTCCTTGCAACAGCCTGTTGTTGCAAGGTCACTGTGTATTTCAATGCTATTATGTTCCCCCTCATTCATTCTTTCTTTAGACCCCACTTGTACCCCCTTCTAGTTCCATGTTGTCTTTAAATATTGTAAACACACTATCTAATCCATAACCTAAATCACTACTTGAAAATGTTGTAGCATCATAGAATCATAGAACATCTCAAGTTGGAATGGACCCATAAGGATCATCAAGTCCAACTCTGCTCCTCACAGGACTACCTAAAACTAAACCATGTGACTACGAGCATTGCCCAGATGCTCCTTGAACTCTGACAGGCTCGGTGCCGTGACCACTTCCCTGGGGAGCCTGTTCCAGTGACTGTCCACTCTCTCAGTGAAGAACCTTTTCCTGATGCCCAATCTGAACTTCCTCTGACACAGATCCAGAACACACTGTTTGGAGTCTCACTTGAAACATCCTTCTGTTTTTTACATTAGACAGTTATCCATGTCAACACTGGCAGATATCACGATGACTATTTTCTTGATAGAGTTTTCCAGTTACTCACCTATCATATAGATGTTCCATTGAGACTCTCTTTCTATGACTGGCTTGCGACCCAGTGTCAAAAGCTCTATGGAGATGAAGATCTGTGGTATCTCTTGCACGTGGTCCCTCTAGACTGCCAAGTCTCCACAAGCCACTGTGACAGCTTGGGCAGATTGGCACTTATTGTATAATGGAGCCTGAAAACTGCGTCCTTCCCTACAGAAGAAGATTCAGGTGCCTTGACCTTGCTCAGCACCAAAATGTACATTGCCTAGTACTAAGTTACCTGATGAGCCACACAAGCAATGTTTGATACAGCTGGAATCTCACCCAGGAACAGTCCTAAATGCTAAATTAGCCTTCAGTTCTGGATATGAAGTTTCCATACCAGAAACAGATGCAAAAAGGCCAACAGGCTCACTTGAATCACAGAATCTAACCTAGGGAATTCACTTCCACTAGCCTAACACAAGTATATTAGTAAGAGTAGAGTCCGGAGAATAAACATGAATATGATTAGACAGAGGTGAGAGGACAATGATGAAATCATGCCTGCTTAGACAAGAGGAGATAGAATATCAGGTTAGATATTAATATCAGAAAGGCATTCCCATTTAGGTCCACATACAGCTGAAGAGGGGCCATCCCAGTGAAACTAACTAGCTATGACTCAAAAAAGATTAAGAAATTTAGTTTAATTCATAAACATCTGTAGAACTCACTGCTGTTGTTTCTAACAGAATATTAAAAACAAGACAATAAATAAGCCACACATATGAATAATGAGAACAGCCACTACTGAATAGCAAAGATACCGTTATCTTACACAGCACAAAGGTTATTGCACAAGCAGCTGGACTTGCCCTGTTTATAATCCATCATGCCACCTTGTCAGCCTTTAAAACCAAGCTCTGGGAAGCTTGCCTCAGCCGTAACTACGAGCACACCTCCTCTGTAGCAAAGTCCGGTATTACTTAACAAAGCCAAAGGCTAGTATAAACTACCATTCAGCTGCTGATTTATTAGCTGAGCTAATAAGCTAGCTTCAAGTTTTGTTTGACAATTTTCCTACAACATGACTTCTCATGTCTGCCCTTGATAGGAGGAATAACAGAGCAAAGGTAATATAAGTACCTGAGCTTCAACATTTTTGCATTTTTGGGGTTTTTTCCCCTTAACTGGACCCTCAGCTTGGAATTCGGGCTTTAAACCACATTGTTTCATTAATATCCCCATCCTTGACATCTATAATTCATATCTGTAATTAATGAATGGTCCTCACTTTGAAATATTATTCAAAACAATGAATATTTTGACTTATAAGTTCTACCACAACTGCATGGTGGAACTAGAGGACTAGAGGAATGCAAGAGAAACCAAGTTAAGAAAGACTCTTTAGATTACCTCAGGACAACTTCAGCAAAACTGTAGGTGGAGAGTCTTCATCACTGCAGCATATTCAGAGTACTCCCCTATTTGCTACATGGGTTCCACACTCTTCCATTTGGGACCACCTCAGAGCATCCCTGGGACTGTAAACTCCCAGAGGGTGATCACACATCCTAATTCCCCTCGCTGCTCTCCTGCACTGCAAATCATTTCATAATGTTCCTGCTGCCTCTGATTGTGAACTGTCTGACAACCAAGCTTGCCCTGTGTTAATTCCCCTTCCTCAGGCACCAAGCGGGGCTGCAACCTCTCACAGACTCCAAGTCAGATTTTGCTTTTTGTTAATAACAGACTTTTTTCTTGTGCATGTTATTAGGGAGTGTAGAGATTATTCTCAGGCATGACATTCAATTAAAAGTATGAGCCAGAATGTCTTCTCAGGTATCAAAGAGTGGAATTGTTCCTCTTTGTCAAAAATACTGCTTAGTAGTGAGTTGCCATATGTGCCACCCAAGAAAGCAGTGTAAAATAAAGAGGTTAATAATACCTATTGTTGAAGAATGGAATTTTCACTGTAGTCATTCTACTGTTCTCCAGGATTTAGTGTGTTTTCATTAATTTTGAATATTCTGAAATTTTTAAAACCTTTTATTATACATCCGTAATAAATGTCTAATATATTTCATTCTTTTATCTTTTCTGGTACTTTTTTTCTCCCCTCTAACAGGTGGAAAAGGAATGGGAGGCTGGGAAGGAGGGATCCGTGTCCCAGGAATAGTTAGATGGCCAGGAGTGTTGCCTGCAGGGACAGTTATCAATGAACTGACAAGCCTGATGGACATTTTCCCCACAGTGGTTGACCTTGCTGGAGGGACAGTGCCTCAGGACAGGTACAAAGGTGGCTTCATAAACCATATTTGCTCCCCTTTCTTGATTTAGATAGATACTGACTATATATGTCATGCATCCTAACAGCCACAGGTTAAATTCTGTCTGTTTCCTAACCAGGCAATTCTCTAGCTTGCTTTCAGTGTAGCTTTCTCCCATCTTGTCTGCAGACGCAGATATTCACAAAGCTGGTTGGTCCTGTTAGAGCACTAGGAGAGGCCCCTTCCAAGGCTAGGACGGCTGGTTCTGCATGCATGGGGAAGGTGGAGCAAATGGCACGTGGCCTGCATTTGGCTGCCACTATCGGAGCTTCCTCGACAGTAAACAATTTGTAGCATCTATGTTAGATTCCTCTAAAGAACACAAGAAAGCGTGGGTAGCTAAGCCATTTGAGAAGAAAATGTAGAAGTACTGGTAGTGTGTAACTAAACCAACTGTTAGTCAATTTTTTTTTTTTTTTAGGAAGCCTCAAGCTCACAGAGCACAGTGACTTCCATTTCAGGGAGCAAAAGTAAAAGCTGTGAACCATGCCTTCACTGTAGTTATCACTTACTTCCAGGAAAATTACAGTAATGGTGATTTATCTCCCCAGGCACAATGTGTGAACTAGCTGTAATTGCAAAAACTGCTAGTAACTGCTAATAACTGCTCTCCACCCATCCACACAATTAAAAATCTCAGGGCTCATTAGCTAAACACTAGCTCAGTTCAGAAATGACACTTGAAATCTGAATGCTGCGTACATGGAGAGTGAGTACTGCTCACGTGCCAGCTGCAGACTGAAATTCTTAACCGGTCTGGTGACTCCTGTCCTCTCCATCAGGGTAATCGACGGGCACACCTTGCTGCCTTTGCTGCGGGGGACGGTTCAGCACTCCGGGCATGAGTTCATGTTTCACTACTGTGGTGCGTTTCTGCATGCAGTGCGGTGGCACCAAAAGGACAGTGAGTATAAAGATTCCCCCCTCCTGCATATCAGAGATGATGTAACGGCCTCTAGCTTCCAATAGAGTATCACATAAAAACATACATACATGTATCTGGAGTAAGTTTATTTTCTCAAAAGCTCACTTCTTCTGCAAGGTGCAGAATGGCTTCGTTGTTAGCTGTCCTGCCTTGCCTGGGATGAAGGGTTTCACTTCCTGGGTAGCATAGCTTCAAGAATCTCCCTGTCATTGCAGTGTTTCTATCACTTTTGCTGCAAAAGCATTCAGGATCAGCTTTAGTGTAAGACTGAAGGAAAAGGTCTTTATCTTAAGCAGTAGTTTGTTTGTTTTCAATAGCCCTATCTTATTTGTTTCATTTTTTCAGCTGTGGTATTAGATAAGCTGACTGCCACTGTAATGCTTTCCTGAGCTTTCAACAAGCACCCAATCTTCGCCGATGTCACCCTCCGTTACAGTGTAAAAGACAAGAGGCCAGTGACTGGTAGCTGTGTCCTTATTCCCAAAATGGAGGATGGCATTTGTGCAACCAAACACAGGTGCCTGGATCCGAGCTTGTTGTTTTGCAGTCACTGAAGGGACACAGATGTTTACAGGGTGTGAGTCACCTCCTTCTGATTAGCACATCTGGGCTAGATCAGGCACACCTGCTTCTCTCCACTGACTAAAAAGAGAGCTGAGACAGACCATATCAGATATAAAAATCACCCTCCTATTAAAGTCAGTTGAGATGAATTGCACCTTCTGTGACTGGATGATGTAACAGTAAGTGTAAAGTTGCTGAATTTGTGGTGATGCTGGTTTTTTGGGTTGGTTTTTTTTTTTTTCATTCTGCACAGCTGGAGAATTGCAGAAGCCGATGCAGTAAGCTATGCCTACTAATCTTCCCATGCTTTAGAAACTTGAATTAACCCCTTTAATTTTTGTTTTGCTTTCCCTGTCTGTGAAGTGAGAGAAGAATTACGGACTTCTTGAGAAACTGCAATTAGGTAATAGTTACAAATGCTAGGGCATCCCACCATCAGCAGCTGTTCACATTCAGCTGGTACATTGACAAGGAGCTGCCTGTTTGAAGAGCACTTTGAGTGCTGACTGTGGGGTGAGAGAAGCTTAGGCAGCCCAGCAGGAAATCCTTCCTATGTCACAGCATTAACTGGGTGATCTTTCTGGTGCCTATTTACATGGCCCTTATGATACTTTCTGATTTGAAGACTACGTGTTTTAGTCATGCTGTTAGTTTAACCTTGAGGTCAGTGCTCTTCTTGTCACACAGAAGCATGGCTCCCAGGCAGGAAGTCACTGTTCTCGGCTGACGGGAAATGTGGAGGAAAGGGACTAAGGACTAAATGCGAGGATGTGATGCCAGGTGCTGCGGTGGAATTTTATTTTTAGGTCCTTGGTTCCCCAAAGATAAATCTGGGTGCTTCATTCGAGGAAAAAATGTGTAATGTATACAAGCCATACAGTACTTGAGGAGATAATCCCTTCAGGGTGAGATCCAGAGCAACCTGTGCACTGCTCAAGGAGCTGTATGGTAGAAAATGCTAAGTACAAGGGTGTTTCATAAATCCTTCCATGGAGTGGAGCATCTTCAAGCCCTCCAGGGAAGGGCTGGTTTTGTTTTGGTTTTTTTCTCTTGGGAATCCTCGTTCTCTATTTTTGCTGAAGAGAAGATGCTGATAACATTTTTGTATAAGAACAAGGACAGTGATTATTTAAAA